CGCACTTACACGCAAATAATCCTAACCGATAGAATTAAGACGTTATGAATAGAGCTATTATTATTATTATTAGGTAATAATGACTCGGTTTGGCATTGTGCAAGCTACGCTTCGAGAGATTTCAAGCGTTGCTCAGAGGAAGCATGAATAAGACGGGCAAGAGTCATCGCAAATGACAGTACGTAAAATAAATTCCGATTCATAACACACCGAACTGATCTTCGATCTTTTATTCACACTTGAGTCACACTCTCGATCGCAGGTGAAGAAGTGAAAATTTTCAATTTGTCAATTTGACGAGCGAGAGACAAAGCGAGAGGCCGGAGGGGAGGCCATTGTAGGAGAAAAATTTTAAATCTGACGTGCTTGGACATTATTAACGTACATCGTTCACGTCTCTCGTTCAACGTTTTAGCCTTCGTGAAGAGAGCGTGAGGACTTGTGTCGCACGTGACGCATCGTAAGAGACAATGACGCGGTAGCAACGCAAAACGTGGCATTAAACGCAAGAGCGATTTAAGGATTTATTCGTGCGTAAATCCAGGCGCACGTGCGCGCCTGGAGTATCGCGTGCGCCAACGCGGTCTGTTCGAAAGTAGAAGCTGCAACTTTTATCACGTGGCGGTTAGTTACATTTAGCCGGGCACTTTATCAGAAACGGCGGACAGCGCGTAATAGCGCGTCGCGAAAAAAAGAATGCGCTTGCGAAAGCCCGACGGGAAGTCGAGGTGAAATCTGAGGGAGCTCGAAGGAGGAAAAAAAAATCAGATTTCGACGAAATTATTAATTCACGCGAGAATGGTGCCTTGGAAACGCAAATGGTTCTCTCCGCTATTGATTTATGTATTATGTTAGAAACTACAGGGAAAATAAAAAAAATAATTCTCTTAACAGGATATCCCGACGCGCATTGGAAAAGCTGTCGAATTTTAAAGTCCCAGGAATAATGAATGAATTTAAGACGGCGCTCAGAGAGCTTCTTTGATAGCTTCTTTTTTATCACGTGTTTGCATATTCATATAAATGTAACGTAAAGCGAATGATAGTCATCGTTCGCGTGTACACAATTTACTGTACATTGGTCTCCAATAAAAGTTTCCCACGTACAATTAACTGTACGTCGACGAGAAACGAGCGTTGAAACGTTGAGCCAAAGTTTGATACTAGACATCTTATCAAATTAATCTCACAAGTGCGATAATGGATATATTTCTAGTTTACGTATATAATATTTTTATGAAATTCAAACAAACATGTGTCATGGAATTTCCGCTCGCAGCTTGAAAATTCTTGTTCTTGAAATGTAAATTAATTAATTATTCTTATCATTACGATTTAATTGTTATTAATGTATTTCTCGTTCTTCAGTGATTTATATTTATAAAGCTGTAAAAAAATATTTCGTAATAAATTCTTAGTGATGTTCACCTTTTTTAATCATCAGTATATAAATGACTCAGATACGCATACTTCCGTGGTTTAATCTTTGATACTTCTTATACATGCGGTGTAGTTTTCATAGGAAATAATTTTTCCTATTCATTTTTTGTTTCGATATTATCATCCTTATTAGCGTACGTTAAACGATGAATTTTAAATGAAATTATTAAGCCGTCAAATAACATTCCAATGAAATTCCATCAGTTTACAATTCCTACGTGCGTCATGGATGTGCTTATCTCGTATTTGTCCTGGATCACACCGCAATCGCGACGTCTTTTCAACGGAAAATAAAGAAAGAAAAGAAGAAATAATACGTGCCACGAATTTTCCATCGAGAGATTCGCCCCGAATCTGGCTTTCTGAACACGCTCCAGAATATCATGTTTCTCACTTACATAATTACCGGTATATGCAGCGTATTAGAGTGAATTAACAGCTAGAAAATCATGAATTAACTCCACACACGATTTAAGATCCGAGATATTTAAGACTCAAGTTCCGTAGATCTTACGTTATGTGAAATCCATAGATACAATAATTCAATATACGAAGCGGATTTCGATTAGAAACGTCAACTTAGCTCTCCCTTCTACGTAAAAGTATCCTCCTTATACAATATTTACGCCAGATAGTAAAATAAAGACAAGAAGGTCCTTACTCTTTTTTCCTCGGGCTCTCAAAAATCACAGCCGGCCTGGCGCATTCCTGCTGCAGCAAGATAATCCCGCCGGTGAAAAGGCGAAGGCGTGCCCTCTCGGTCAAGCTCCCTCGTCACCAAGTTATAACACCGCACAGAATAGAACGAGGAGAATTTAAAAAAAAAAAAAAAAAGAGAGAGGAGAGAGAGAGAGAGGTAGCAAAGGAGAAGCGAGACGCCCACGCGATCGCGCCGCGCAGTCGAGAGCGACTCGCCGACTGCGACTGAGTGACTGACTGACCGACTCCTCCGGCCGCTCCGCTCGGCGTGTACCGTCGCCGCACTTGCATCGACAACAACACACGTACACACCATTGCGTCTGGTATATCCGAGCGCGCTCCCCGCCTGTGGGGCACGACGGCCCCGTGCGCCTTTCGTTTCCAGTTCCATTCCAAAGCCCAACGTGGTCCCAACGTGCCTTTTGTTGCATCTCGCCCGCTCCGCTCCGCTCCGCTCCGCTCCGCTCTGCTCAGCGCCCGGGCGGCGCGTTCGCGGCCGCTCTTCTGACCGGTTATTCCAACCGCGTTATTTCTCTTTGGACCGCTCTACATACGAAGCGTAGAGTCGCGCAACGACTAAATCGCGATTGCAATTAGCCCGTTGAACCGATCGCGCCGACTCGAAGCCGAACTTGGCTCAAGCGAGCGTTCTTCCTCTGTTAATTAATTTAAGAAAAAAGATAAAGAAATAAATAAATAACAAGCTAAGATTGTTGACGAATTTTTATCGCTTCTTCGATCCGTAATAATGTAATTAATCGCGGAATCATTAATGTCTATCGGATTTTTTTATATATATTATAGTCGTCAAGTTGAAAACTTTTTTTATATTGCACATAATTAATTTAAGCAGTAAATAACTAATTTCATCATCGACGTATTTATTTGCGGGAAAAGGATATTACAACTTTCTGTTCTACTCGAAACATTTTTCATCCACTGTATTCAGAATGGGCGGATCATCGCGAGCCGAGAGATTAAGGATCAAGTAACGAATGTAACACAAATTACATTCTAACGAGATTATAATTTATGATGATGATGCTATTTAGCATGGAACGTCCAAAAACCGGTACTTTGTAACTGCAGCGCAGTACGGCTTCGAGCCGAAACGTGAAACCTGGATAACAACCTTGCTGTATAATCGATTCCAGCGCATCGAGTTGCATCGAAGCGCCTCGAAAGTGGGCAGAACGCGCCCATGATGCAAGAAGGTTTTCTTAAAAACATAAATACAATAAACAAACGATTAAATGCGCTAGTTATATATTAATATAAAATTACATCCTGCTTATATTATTTGCTTATGTAAATTCCCGATGACGCGTAATGTGACAAAACCCGATTCTTACCGAAGCATATGCTTAGATAGTTAGATTCAGTTGTTTGAATTCAGTATCTCAAATTTGATAAAAATAAGTAGATAAAATATAGATAGCCGCAGAAGAAAAATTCACGTTCGGATCGTTTTAAAATCAAAGATTACTAGAGTAGGTAAGATATCGTTATTGATTTACCAAGAAACAGCTATCGACATTCTCGACTATTCGGAAATAAGAAATAAGAAATAATAAAGCATAAGCGTCAATTGAATTTTTTTTTCTGTATTTTCCATACTCCAGTATGGAAATACAGTTAAATTGGAACATGCTCCACATATTCATAACTCAAGGCCATATACCTCATTAATCCGTGTTGTAGGCAACCCGTCATACATCTTTGCAAAGAATCTTTGCTCTTTTATCTCAGCAGATTCATGTGTTGTTTAATAGCTATTTAACATTGAGAAAAAATTTTATAGAAGATTAATTATATCTTTTATATAAATAAAAAAATGACAAATTTTAAATATGCCTTTTGACGTAAAGTAATATTTAAACAATTATCAAATAATAATTTATAATATATTTAATAAATAATTATAATACTTATAATTTTATCTTTACATAATATAAGCTTAAGCCTAATACTATATTATATATGTTTTTTGTTTTGTATATTTTTTAAATATATTTCATATTCATATATATATAAGATATTTCTATGCTAAGTGCGTAACAATGCTTAATCTGTAGATTTGTAAAAAATAGACTCGTTTTAGTTACATTCTATGACATAACTATATTTCTTATTCCATCATATATATCTGGCTCACTTTTGTCTCTTATATAAAGGAAAAAAGTTTTCTGCAAAATATCGAATCCGATGTCCTGCTGCGGTGCATTTACGTTATAATTGTCGTTACTTTCATCGTCGAGACTTAAATTATTCAATTTATGCGTTACATCGGATCTAGCACGCACGAAATCTTCGGAAATGTTTTCTTGTACAGGATTTCTGTAATTACGATCATAAATTGACATTGTTGACATGCGCTTCACATAATCTATGTCCAGTTGCGGGTCTGCTATAATTTTTAGCGTTTTAAAGTTTATCGTGGCCTCCAAAATAGCGTGCATTACATTTTGTTTCCATTTACAGTGTATATGTTTTTTAACTTCGCGACCCAATAGAATCATTTTTTTTCTTCTCGAAAGACGCTTGATTTTTATAAATGGTCTTAGTATTCTCTTCATTTTGCCCATTTTACAAATACTATGCCAAAAAATTATAGCTATTTATTATTTTACATTGTTTATTGCTTTACATTGTTTTCACTCTTAGATATTCCTCAGTATTAATTCAGATATGCAATGTCCTGAAAGAAATAAATATTGCCTAAAATTATTAGCCTATATGTAGTGTAATATTATATCAATGTATTAATGACATGATTAAATTTAAATGTATTTTAATTTTTCTAGATCCAATTTTCATTGCATTTCTATTTAATATAACATTGTATTTAATATAACAGTAATCATATTTATATAAACTTCAGGTAAATAATGTTCAGTATTTTCATTATTTCATTGTCAGATCAGATTTTGATTCAAAATTCGAAGTACTTCTCAAGTCGATAGAAAAATAACAAAAAAAATAGCATATAATTTTATTGTATTCATTTTTTTATTAAATATAAACAATTAATCCTATCGATACAAAATAATGATGAATGGTCATTATTGCAATAAATTTTATATTATACTGTATTATATTGTATTAATATAAAGTACACCGTAGTATATTATACTCGACAATATAGAGCTCGATGCTATAATGTACTACGTAATATAGAGCTCATATTACGGTATACCATAGCGTAGAGCTCATACTAAATTATTGTTCTGCTACAGCCACCTAGTGGCTGAAAGTATCATATTCTGTATGAGGTAAACACCATCAGTACGCAATATCACATACGTACCCATGAGAACGCTGTATTTGACGATACTGTCAAGATATCAAATACATTTGATCTTCTTTGTGACACTCGATCATCTTTATATTTGAAATATTAAACAGATATAATATTTTTCTTATATTAAACCGATATTAAACACAAATTACGCAGCACCTATTACAATCTACTGCAGCCACTGTAGTTTGACTACTAACTGCTGGAAGTGACGCATTCTGCCATCTAGTAACACCTTGCTAACTATTGCAAACTGAGACATTGTTTATTGTATTTCTGCAGTACCGACATTTTAATATTTATATTTTAATATCTTTAACTTAAAAATAAACTTATTATTATAAATCACAAATATTGAGTATCAGATAGTGTATATTCAGTTTGGATAACAAGAGGCCAAACGAAATTTTGTAAAAGAAAATATAAGAAAACTAATATTTATAAAAAATAATGAAAATATTGAATATTAAAATATAATGAAATTAATTAAATATTTTTGATAATTAAAAATATTTATGAATACATCTTAGCAATTGGCTTTCTAGAAAGGTCTTTTCTAAATTTCAGATTATATTTTTGCCGAATGATAATGTTAATAAATAGAAAGAATATCCATAAATATTTATGGCACTATTATCATTATTCATATCTGTCTATTTATGAAATTTACAACTTCCTTGTTTCTATGTAATGTTATTTTAAAATTTTAAGATAAGTTATGTGTATAAACAGTTATTGCCACTAATTTCAAAGTTAAAAAGCAACTTTCAAAACTTTTTATAACAGCAGAAATAAAAAAGCGTGGCAGAAGAATTAACGAAGAATTTATTTAATTACACATTAAAGATACATTTTCGTGTGCTTCTCAAAATAACGGAAAACATGAAATATTAAAGTTCTTGACGGAAAGTAAGTCTTTTACAGCAATAAAAAAATGTAAAATATTGATATTTTGGCGATAAAAAATAAAATATTATCATCTATTATATCACAAATCTCAGAAAAATCAGATATGTGAAGATTATTAAATTCAGATAAAGTTAGATTCGTAAATGCGTCAGTTGATTCATTAAAAAAGAAACGTGTGACACACTAAAATGGTTTTAATTATGTAGAATCTGAGATATGAGCTTTATAACCACAATGTAACTTGAGTATTCATCTTAGATGACCGCAATTATACTCAGTCTCGCTTCCCAACAATGTGAAAGTTTAACAGACGTCTAACAGACGTCCTAATCTTACAAATCTTCCTTTGTAGGCATCTCAGATGTTCTTTAGATTTTCTTAAGTCATCTTCATATCGTGTGAGTTAAATCATTTTTGTTTCAGCGACATCTTAGGAGAAAGTAAATCTAAAAATATAGTTCAGTATTTTGTCTGTATGTATTCATATTTCAAGAATAATTTCTTTTATTTGTACCAAAATCGTAACAAATAAAAAATAAAAAATAACAAATAAAAGATATACTTTTACAGCATCAAAATTGAACTCACCGAAATTAGAACGAATTATATGTTCAAAGATTTAATGTAGCAGTTTATGATTTTTCACATACAATTTTTTTTTATAAATACCCAAAGCAGTAATTACGATTAATAAACGACACTTTCAAAAATTGTTATGAAAAACGCGACAATAAATGTCCAATACAAAATATCATCTTCAATATATCTTCATCAAGACTTTTCAGGTAATAAGGATTACGTCAGGCAGGGCCGATGTGAAGCTGGAGGAAAAAAATATTGAAAAGTAGCTTACTTTTACCTGATTAGCTTATGTACCATACGTACGACGGATTAATCCCCCTGAAAAACGTGAACGAATAAGACACAGCCGCACGTAGCGCTTCCGCGCTTCGGCAGCATCGGGCGGAAAGAATCTGCGCACGTGCACCGGGCACGACCGACCTGACCTGACTGAAGCAAAGGGATGATCAATAACTTCCAGGATATATAAGGCTCCGTTCCGGTAGAGCGTGTGCACCTCTTGAGTTCACGTGATCGGTTTATCGCGCACCACGGACCCCTAGCCTCGATCGCGTTATCGGCGACTGCGTTTCAAATTGGTCTGTACGTCAGATAGCATCGGAGAGGTATTACAACCATTGGGTATAAGTGCTTAGCGTATATACAAGATACACCGATATTACATCGGAGTTTATCGGTCGTAGTAATGTAAGGTTTTCCATTTGTTCCGCTATGAACGATCCCGGCAGCGTAAAAATCGTGCGTGCACGATGTACGACGGTATCCGTCCGGAGAGTGGAGGCTTTTCGGTAACAGTGTTTTCAGCACGTCGGAAAACAAAAAAAAAAAAGAAAGAAAAAAGAAAAAGAAAAAAGCGCGACGTAAGCTCCCCGACGAAATTACACGTCGACGGATCATTAACGTCGAAAGGCATGTGCACGCACGATTTCCGCCAACATGGCATCAAATTTTTTGCGAGAGATACGGTAAATATGACTATATCCTCTATTTGCCTGCTTGATACAGGGCGATACAAGCCCGACGTTATTTCTGAACGCTTGTACTTTTCAATTAAAAAATTAAGATCTTACAAGTTTATGATTTTTCGTTCACATCGTGTGTTTAGCTTTGTAACTTTGTAAAAAATTGTCGAGTCATATTCGATTAAGAAAATTTTGCAGGAAGATGCACGAGAAAAAAAATTTTATTTTTTACGCAACGACGAGTAAAATTATTCTAAGATTAATAAATGAAATTGTGATATGTCAGTTTATTTATTTACGAATAATTGTTGCTAAGCCTCTCCCAAAGAAAATACACGTCTGCCGATATTGTTCAAGTGTGGTTAATTACCTACGAAATATGAGTCAGAAATATGAACATTCTTACGAGGCTTTGCGCACATCCACGAACAATCGTGTCCGACAATAGGGTAAATGCTCTAATGAAACTATACGACATGTAATTCTTCTGTTTTCGTTTATTTATATTATTTTCCACACGTCTGTAAGTCATGTGGCATGGTGTAGGCCTCCTGGGGATTCCCGCCATGTAAAAAAACGGGAACGCGTCCGGGCACGGTACCCCCTGGGTGACGAGGAAAGCCGTGCCACTTTGTGTTTAATTGCCGGGATTTCATTCACAGGCGAATCGGTACTTTATTCTTTCCCGTTCCGCAATTTCCCAGTCAACTTATGCGCGGCGAGTGCCATACGAGAAAGTTTTAGCGCGCGACGCGCGACGCGACGTTGATTTCAAGTAACGCCAATTAATTTGCCACCAGCGAACTTTACGCTCTTAGTCTCGCACCGTTTCGTAATCCTCTTTCCACGGAATTGCCACGTGGCAATGGCGTTCCACTAATTTTTGGGCGCGGCTGCTACGCGCTAATCGACTGTAAATAAACTCTCGAACAACCGTTCTACGAAATAATTACGTTACGTCCCGCGTGCACTCGCGTTTACGTTATCACAATTTCCGATCTTCGTCCGTTAATGCAGATAATTAGTTTTTATTATTTTTTTTTTCTTTTTTCTTAATTAAAGTCCACGCTTCAATGTCGCGCGTCGCGTGCGGCAGCTGGTCAGACGAACTGTGCACGCCGATAAATCGAGTTTCGTCTAACCTCTCTACGTATACGACCGAAAATCTCACTTTAATGAGTGAAATCCGTATCTATTAAGGCCTAACGCCCATCGTCCAGACTGTTGCCACGGCTGGAACGCTGGCCGAACGATTAAATTCACCGTGGAAAGCGGTTATTAACACGTTATTGCGCGGGGGCTCGCGTATACGTTCCATTGTTCCCCGTGGAAATTGCAATCAAACGCGCGGAGGCGGCTGTCCCGTGCGACGACAAGTGACGATAAAAAAAACAAGTTGACGAAAAAAAAAAAAAAAAAAAAAACGAATAGCATCTCCTCGCGCCTACTTACCTACTTTGCAGGAGACGTTGGTTGCAGCCGACATTTCGATCTTCCTCGAAAAATCGCCTAATGCCCTTTGCCCGTGCACCACTTCCACGGGGATCGAGAAACGCGCGCAGTCATCGTTCCATTTCGTTAATCCGTTTCCGCCGCTAATAATCTCCGCCTGCTACTCACGATGATCGTGAAGAAGCTATTTGCGAGGCGGCACGACGCGACGGCCTCGAATGAAAATGACAACGGTCGCACGGGAGGAGGAAGACGCACGGAAAAAAAAAAAGAAAGAAAAAAAAAAGAAAAAAGGACGAGGCGAGTCCTCGATGATCGTTATCAGGATCGTTATCGAGGATGGAAGCGTCAAGCGGATGGAAGCGGAGGATCCCGAGGCGTTTCTCGCTCGCGGATTTCTTATTCCAGCGCGCTTTGTACGCCGACACGTGCACTTTTTAGCGCGCGGTAATCGACATCGAGTCTTGTATCTCCTCTCTCGCAATCATATTTAACATGCAATCTGGGCGCGCATCAACGTACGTGATATCCAACATTCCTTCGTCGTAACAAGCCGCCTTCATAATAACGCTCGCAAAGCGAAGCTTGCGAATATTACACCGCGAAACATACGCATTCGATCTATTATTAGCGGGACGTATTACGCCCGCACGCGCGCATATACGCGCCGCTATTTCCTTCGGGGATGACAAGCGACGCAATATAAACACCCACGTAACAAGATGTATTAACCTACTCCAGACAGTACTCCAGTACCATTACGTATTACCGATCGATCCTCGAGTAGGTACTCCAGAGCTGCCGCTATTTATTTACGGATGCCGTAGTCATCCTACTCCTAAGTGCCGTCGTATTCACAACGACGTTTAGCTAATAATCAACGTCATCCGATTGCTTCCATAAATTTCTTAGACGCTGTTAGCTGTGAATTTTCTCGATGAGTATCACGAAACGGGGATCGGCTTGCGACCGAATCTGGGTTTGTTGGACGGACCGACGCGTGTCAGGAACAATTTGTGTCAGACGTTTGGATCTTGGCTTATTTCTATTATCCGCGTGAAATTGTGCGGTTTCTATTAAATTGAGAAAGCCAAACAAGGCATTTGTTTCCCGCCACAATAATGGAGGAGAGGAGTGGAGTCACATCGCGCGCAGTCATGTTGCAAAAGTTGATTTTCCAGGAGACAAAGAGAGAAAGGGAGAAAGAGCTTAATTATCAATAATTTTACAAAATTATAATTAAAAAAGAAATCGAAGTACAGTCGCTTCGCATTACAAAAATTACTTTTTTAACTATTCTCTAAAAAAAAAAAATTACATTTTGCAATAATTAAAATTCATAAAATTCTCTAAAAGGATTAAATTTTTTGTGATATAGTT